TAATTATCAGATGAAGCACAGGAGTGGTGAAAGACCAGCATGTCATCGGAGTCTGCCACTCCTACGAGTAGATGAAACATCTGTTCTAGAAAAAAATGGGGCATATAAATCAACATTTATATGCTCTAGTAAAACAAACGAGTGACTTCGTGGCGCCATCGTAAGGGAAAAGGGAAAAAATAAAAAACTTGCCTATTCTATCCTATAAACTTCACACCATCTGCCTCATTCATCTTATCCCTGCGTGCCACTGTCACTACAAAAATCACAGCTGGAACGCATCTGTTTGATCAAGCTTGTAAAATATTATTAGGACAAATCGAAAAAAACCAACGAGACAATTTACTGAAAAGCATTTTTTCGTACAAAATATTGCTTATTAACCCGTTAGGTGGCGCGAGTGCATGATAAGCAAAGTGTGAAACAGCTGACGGTTAATCATGTAAAAGTGTAAAGACTAAAGTAGAGAATAACTTATTTAATGACTATTTTCGTTATGCATAGCCAACGAAACGAATAAAGATAAACATTACTTCACTACATTAGTGGAGTTCACGACGGAGCGACGTAATGTCGTGCCAACTTAACACAGTTGCGTCCTGCTCGTGTATGCGTGAAGTCAAGGAGTGCCTTTTCCCCGACTTGATTGATGAGAATGGTACTACTACTACTACTACACTGCTACTACTATTATTGTATTATTTTATAATGTTTTTCATACACATTATTATGTTACATATTAGAGGATGCATGCATAAAGATAAATGCCTGCCAATTTATTGGTGAATAACCATGGATCATTGGATGATGGCATTGGCATCCGCATCGCTCAAAACATCACAACAATTTGCAGTGGTGGGATTGCAAAGATTAAAGAATAAAGGGATACTACACCCTAGAATTTTAGGGTATATTATGATAGTAAGTGCATAAATAATAGTATATACCTACAAATTGCTATAATCATGCATTCACATTTGTCATAAAACAATAGTGAGTTTCGAAATCTTGATTTTTGGCCGCTGACATGATACCCCACGATTGTGCTGCCACCCTGATGAAGTTGCGCTTTTTCTGATTTATTTTGCACATTACAGACCTGGGGGCTAATCACAAAATTGCAATTATATTTGTACCTAACTGCTATTTAACTGAATAATTTTTATTTTAGGATAAATTAGTCCATATTATAACTAAATCTAAAAGTTGTTTATGAGATATTGCAATCTCTTAAATTAATAAATAAGAAACACCCTTAGTCTGTAGCCTGCAGCCAAAAAGCTGCGATGCGCAACTGAAAGTAGATGTGCTAGTAGTGGCGCCATCGTCATTGTAAGCAACAATAGAGCCGTTACTTTTTAAAACTTTCTAACAAATATTTAACAATGAATTTTTTTATGTAGTGCTGAGAGCTAGGGTCTATGTCCCCCAGGGTACTGCCGGAACGTACCCTTGGTACGGTTTGGTATACCGGAACGTACCCTGGTAAGTACTATCTAATATCCCGGACCGTACCTCGCCTATTAACGAGTCTAGGGAGTCGCCTATGCCTACTCCCTAACCCTAACACTAACAATAACCCTAACCCTAACCCTAACCCTAACCATATCAGCTAGATAGTTACCAGGGTACGTTCCGGTATACCAGACCGTACCCAGGGTACGTTCCGGCAGTACCCTGGGGGACATAGACCCTATAAGCGTAATTTACACCTATTTTAACAAAAAATATGCAAGGAACCTAACGTAATGTATCCCTTTAAGTTATATTGATCAAATTCAAACAAATTTGACCAAATAATAACACGTTTACCAAGCAGCTAGGCATAAAAAAATTAGTCCAGCCCACTGGCACCACTTATTGCATGGTTTACACACCAACATTGTTTGAAATCTGTTCTGCTTCTGTGTGATTAAATTCATCCCTTATATCAAATAATATATATAGTAGGTATCTTTCTGTGGAGTGATGAAGCATGGGACAGGTCTATAGTTTAAACATATGGCATGTGTCACATTGACATCTTCTATATATGCTAGGATGAACATATTATACAATATGCTTTTCAACAAATTCTGAAATGGCATTGTTTCTGCAAGAACTGGCATAGTGATCTTTCATGTTCATCATATAGGCATATTTATAATTTTAGCACGGACCTACATTTGTATTGATAAAATATATATATATTCAGTTCTATGTTTTATATGGTTCATATACTCATATAGAGATATATTTATATATAGTCAGTTGTTGACGCTGTGTAGGTCCGGTTTTAAGAATAGGCCTAACGTATCTCCCTGCGTGTCGTAGAAGGCAACTAAAAGGAGTTGGCGTCAGAAGGGCATTCTGGGCTGTAAAACTTCTGCCCTCCAAAAACTCATTCCATGATGAGTTAAATGGTGAAATAAAACTGTCCAACCTCGGAAAGGGCAAAACGGACAAAAAGTCGGAACTGCATAAAAAGGTCGTTGCAACAAACATGCACTAACTAGGAACCTGTTGCTATATCTATCGGCTGCATGTGATGGTGTAAGTGATACGAATATGTTTGAAATATGTATTCTATTACTGTGCATGCATGCATGCGTGCGTGGCATCTGTTTATATGTTATATATATTATTATATTATATATATATAGTATATCTATAATCAAAGAGTGGATAATAGAGACAAGAGTATGACTTCTGTTTTAAAGCATTTTGCGGTAGTTTTAACACTTCGAATATTCTATAATATTGAATGAAATATAATTCAAACTTTACGTTGTTTTCGTCTCGATTCCCCGTTTAATCATTGACACACCAAGTTTACGCTGAAAATCGCTATGTGTTCTTTCAAAAAAGTTTTTGTTGAATCTAGGTTTCGAACAGTTTTCACGCTGAATGTGCCATCTCTCGACAACTTTTTTATGGGACTAGTGTTCTGTTTGTCTAAGACGGTAACGCTGGGGGCGCCGGTAAGCGATCAGCCTTGCTAGCTAGCTGGCCCGTGAGGCCGCATTTATTTTTAGCACGCTGGAAACGCTGCACGCTGATACAATTCGCATGACCTTAATATCCATTACGAACCCCAAAGTTCCGTCATAGACAATAGAACACTAATCCCATAAGAAATTCGGTTCGAAGGAGATGCATTCATCGCGCTGAAAACTGTACGAACCGTGTCGTATTTCAAATAACTTTTTGAATGCAACACATTACGATTTTCAGGTAAATTGGTGGTGTTCATATGATTAAGGAGCATCATAGACGAAAACAAGGCTAAAGTTTGAATATATTTATTCACAATAATTATAGATTTATTTACCAGTTGAAAACTATTGCCCAAAACGCTGTTAAAACCGAGTCAATACTCCTTCTCTATTTCCACTCTTGATAATATATATATATATATATATATAAATATATCAAGAGCTAGATAATAGGAGACAGAGTATGACACTGTTTAAAAGCGTATGCGTAGTTTTCAACTTGAATTTATTCTATCAATATGTGAATAAATATATTCAAACTTTACCTTGTTGTTTTCGTCTCGGATTCTCCGTTAATCATATGATCGACACCATCAGTTTACCTGAAAATCGTATGTGTTCTTCAAAAAAGTTCTTTGAATATGACACGGTTTCACACAGTTTTCCCAAATGTTTGCATCTATTCGGCGAATGTTGATATGCGGCGGCAGCACCACGTTGTAACTACGGGACGCTGGGGGCTGTTGGCGATATTAGGTAAGCACAGTAACAGCACTTGTTTCGCTTCCTTATCATCAGGAACATGATGGCAACAGAGCTAAAATCAGCTGCTAGCTCGCCGTGAGCACACATTTATTTCTAGCACGCTGGAAATGCTACACGCTGAATACAATTCTATGCCTAATATCCCCAACAGCCCCTAGCATTCCGTAATAGACAATAGAACACTAATCTGATAATAAGCTTAGCCGCTATATGCGAATGGTTGGGAAAACTGTGTGAAACCGTGTCGTATTCAAAGAACTTTGTTGAAGAACACATACGATTTTCAGGTAAATTGGTGGTGTCATATGATTAAGGGAGAATCGTAGACGAAAACAAGGTAAAGTTTGAATATATTTATTCATATTATTGATAGAAGATATTTTCAAGTTGAAAACTATGCAAAACGCTGTTAAAACGGTGTCATAATCTTCTCCTATTATCTACTCTTGATATATATATATATATATATATATATATATATATATATTGTATGTGTTTTGTAGACGTATCTGAGACAGATAATTCTGACTGGGAGGATTGGATGAAAGAAGGTAGAGAGGACAGTAGAGCTGCAAGAAGACACTGCAGCCGCCAGAAACCTAAGCCTCAATCATGGTTCCAAGATAGCATCATTTCCCTGTCTCCCAGTAAAGATCTTCTAGTGTTTGGTTATAGAGACACTGTGGCATTTCTAGCAGGTAATCCTGTTCAAAAAGTCCGAATTCAAAAGCTGCTGCATTACTTTAGTTGCTTTAGACAAATTCATCGAGATTCCGTCAGTTTCGTAAAGCATTTTGAATTCGAGGATATTCACCTGCCTTAGAAGGAGTTAGGCAAAACAGCAAACAGGTTCTAGTAGGTACAAATTTAAGAGGTTTATACTATTTTAACTGTTGTCTCCTGATTTTAAGAACTAATTGTACTTTGGTACACATGCAATGATAAGATTATGTGTGCCTTATATAGGTTTTGATACAATTGTTGGCATTATTTTGTGGATGCCACCATGACTACTCAGTACTGCTAGGATTTGTAATAGAACAAATTGAAATTGTGAAATTCCGACCTAATTGATGTTGTTTTATTCTGTTTTCTTTCCATAGCAAAATGGGATGAACAAGAAAGTAGAGGAATAAGTTTGAAATTTAATATAGTCTGGTCAGGAGTCCTTGCTTTAGAGGAAAAGTAAGTCTGTATATCATATGATCAGGAGTGAATAATAGAGATTATTATGTCTCTTATGTCCTTATTATGATTATTATATCTCTATTATTCACTCCTGATATGTTGCTTTGATACTTGATTAGCTTAGTATACTGCATGATTTCTTTTCTATGATTGATTTTACCGTGCGTGAGAGTTAAAACTTTAGGTGAATCAAGATTTTATTTTCGTTATGCATAGCCAACGAAACGAATGAAGATAAACATTACTTCACTACATTAGTGGAGTTCACGACGGAGCGACGCAATGTCGTGCCAACTTAACACAGTTGCGTCCTGCTCGTGTATGCGTGAAGTCAAGGAGTGCCTTTTCCCTGACTTGATTGATGAGAATGGTACTACTACTACACTGCTACTAGTACTACTATTATTGTATTATTTTATAATATTTTTCATACACATTATTATGTTACATATTAGAGGATGCATGCATAACGATAAATGCTTGCCAATTTATTGGTGAATAACCATGGATCATTGGATGATGGCATTGGGATCGCTCAAAACGTCGCAACAATTTGCAGTGGTGGGATTGCAAAGATTAAAGAATAGGCAGTGGCTACGGGTACGGTAGCCGTATCTTAATGTCTCGAGGCTACGGGTACGGGAGTCCATTCGCTTTCATACTTAACGAGACAAAGATGGCGGCGGTAGCGCTAGATTTCGAAATAACGCCTTGGGAAATAAATTCACGATTTGAGAGTTTAGATGAGCTAGAACCCTAACCTTAACCCTAAACCTAACCATAACCCTAAACCTAACCCTAACCCTAACGCCAAAAAGGGGCTTCACGACCGACGGCTACCGTACCCGTAGCCACTGCGTAAAGAATAAAGGGATACTACACCCTAGAATTTTAGGGTATATTATGATAGTAAGTGCATAAATAATAGTATATACCTACAAATTGCTATAATCATGCATTCACATTTGTCATAAAACAATAGGGAGTTTCGAAATCTTGATTTTTGGCCTCTGACATGATACCCCGGGTTGTGCTGCCACCCTGATGAAGTTGCGCTTTTTCCGATTTATTTTGCACATTATGGCCCTGGGGGTTCAAGGATAGAGAACATGGGTCCCAATAAAACCAATGTCATTTACATCAATATAAATATAATATTATATCAATATCAGGGGGAAAAATACACGGGGGCGGCGGGCGATTTCGCCCCCGAAATGCCAAAAAGAGCCCCCGAAAATACGATATCGGGGGCGACCCCAAAAGCAAAAGTCGCCCTGGAAATCGATTGTCCAGGTCGGTCCCGCGCCTTGCCGATCTCGCTCGGCCTCTGCCGCTAGCGGCGCGGTAGAATTCCTAGTACGGTGTGGCTGTCAAGTGTTTATCATTAAGCATGCATGTGTGTATTGCATTCAATCAAGCGCGCGCCGCCGCCCGCGCGTATATATACGTGTGTGCCTGTGCGCGTGCTTGCGTGTGTGCCTGCGCGCGTGCGCGCGTGCTGGTGTGCCTGCAGGCGTGCT